AGTGTTCAAAAAGGATGGTGGATTTTGGTTAATATGAGATATGGGATTCTTTTTTAAAATGACTTGGAAAAGGCGCTGATCCATCGAACCTGTCAATTTCTGAATGTCCTCTGATGTAATTTTACGTGATACGTTGAATATTTCCTCCCATAAGTCATCCTTGCTTTGAAATTGGCATCTATTCTCATAAACACGTCGCTTCACAAGTTTTCAATTGGGTTTAAATCTGGAGAATTAACCGGCCAGTTCATCTTCCGAGGTCCACGGAAGCTTAATTTCTTCAGGTACTCCCTAGTTTTATGCGTTGATGGCAAAGGAGCATTATCTTGTATAAGCACAATGGTTCTCCTGAAGATAATTCTTTGCTCTTTTTAGCCAAGATTCCAGGTACTCTTTGAGGAAGGCTATATAAGAATCGACAGTTATTTTGGTGCCATCAGGCACTCTCCACAGACCAACCATGATACCCCAAATAAAACCGAGCCAAATCATAATACTTCCTCCTCCTTGTTGGCATGTCAAGCGTTTTACGACCCAACCTTTGCTCCAACCATCAAGGCCTTCAAGCGTTGCCCAACTTTCATCAGTGAACAGAACTTTTAAGAAATCGGCCTTCATGTTTTCCTTTACTCATTTTAAACGCATTTTTATTTGTACTTTTGTCAAATCGAGGCTTTGTCACTGGTTTCACTAATGTTCCAACCTTTTTCAGAAGACGATACGATTTATCGACTAAAAAAAGTTTAAACCATCTAATTATTACAAATAAAATTGGGTCTTATAAATGCCCCCTATGTAAAACAATGTTGTCTATGAATTCTCATGCCCTCCCTCTGGAAGATTGGATCTTCAGCAGTAATATTTAATAAAAAAAACATATTAAATACTTACATTGGGAACACATGCACCACACTCTCTCGCAGATTAACTGAAGACTACAAGGAAGCATATTGAATGATATTTTCTGGTGTCAATTAGAAGATTAATACTTACTTTGTGTTAAAATTATATGATTATATGCTGATATAATATATTTTTCAGGACTTATGAACTTCTCTTTTTAACAGTATTTATCCCCTACCCTATATATATATATATATATATATATATATATATATATATATATATTGATGCATCATTCATTAAATAATATAGACAAGTGTATCATCACTGTATTGCTTAATATATTGCAATGTAATTGTCATCTTTGATATTGGTTTATGTAAGCCGAAAGGTTACATTGGATTAAAAAATATGGATCAATATTGTGATTTTCTTTCGTCTTTTAATGATAATGTTATTAAGCTTATCAGACGATATGAAAAGAATTTACATAAAATAAATAGAGAAAACTTGTCTATATTATTTAATGAAACATGCATCAATATCATTTTTGTTGACAATTCTCAAGAACAAAGAAAATCTATAAATTCTTTTTTATACGTTTAAGCTTTATTACAATTCTAATTACCACTTTTTAAAACAAACATTGCCAAAGAGTGAAAGTAGTTTTCAAAAAAAATAAAAAAATAAAAAAAGTGGTGTCATGCAAAAAAACTGTCTTTTTGACAGTGTCTTATTGCGGGCATGTTTACCAATGTTTGCTGAAAATTTAATTCTAAGCTGCAGAAAATTATGCCCAGAAAATGAAACTAAAATATTATCTCTGTTTAGAATGTTTTTTTTTTATTAAATTGCTAATAAAATATTTTGTAGACATTTCAGTTATGAAAAAAAAAATTGTTTATAAATCTTTTTTTTTAAACAAAAGATTTATTTTCATTTATTTATTAAAGAAAAATGTGCACTCTTCAGCAGGATTCAAACCTGCGTCCAACTGGGTGGAGGGGGACCCATAATTAGATCAAAAATGCCTTAACCAAATTGACCATGAAGAAGCTTTGCTGATCAAGCAAGTTCTGAACAATGTTTTTAAGCAAAATCCTTCTCATCACAGATTCCTCGAAATTATATCTACTCTGTTTCGTATTCAAAAGTAATTTTTTGTGTTTATTATTTTTGTTGCCAATTCTCAAGAAAAAAAGAAAATCTATAAATTCTTTTTTAAACATTTAAGATTTATTATAATTCTAATTACCACTTTTTAAAACAATAAACATTGCCAAAGAGTGAAAGTAGTTTTTTTAAAAAAAAACGGTGTCATGGGAAAACCCATCCTTTTGATATTGCGCCTTATTGCGAGCAAATCCATGTTTGTCGATTGTTTATTTACAAGAGGCATTTCATATTTACGACATTCTAAAAAAATAATACAATTAAAACTAATGCCATACGAGAAAACAACAGCAACATTTACTCGTTCTTCTTCATTAGACGTTAAATTTCCATAGTTTACCTTGATTTTCAATCAGTCTGTATATTTATGTGCTTTCTTATATATAAACACACACACACACACACACAAAACACACACACACATGCACGCACAAACACACACACACATATATATATATATATATATATATGAAGAAATATACTCTTCAGGTATGCTATATTTACGGGATAAAGTGCTCAATATCAGAGAGCGTGTGTAAATATAAAAGTGAACATTGAAGTCAACACTTAGAGGTGACAGGCTGGGTAGGTTTGTCTGGCTCACTAGGTTTATCTAGGTCTGCTCTACGGTTGTATTGAGCTCTTTAGCTAGTTCTTTACTCGTATCGGTGTTTTTTCTTTGGGCTTTTAAACCTGTATCTGTGCGATTTTTTTTTTTTTGACAGACTTTCATGTTTCTAGCCCTTTCTTTTTTAAAACCTTTTTTTCCTCAACATTGATTTGATTATTGGCAAATCAAAAATTCGAAGGTTTTTCAAAACGAGTACAGTTACCTATATATATATATATATATATATATATATATATATATATATATATATATATATATATATATATGCAGCATGTGTTTTATTACGGCATGTGTTATTATTAAAACTACGGGACTCTACCGCTTGATGATATTTTTCTCAGTTTTTTTCTTGCTTCCTCGAAAATTTCTTAATGTTTGGATCCAGGTTGGCATATATTTTTTGTTTGGAGATATGTTATTGGATGTTTCAGTTTTATCGATAATATTAGACAATATTATTGGGTTATTTCATTATTGGTAATGAGGGGGGGTGATGTTTTTATTGGAAGATCATATATATATATATATATATATATATATATATATATATATATATATATTATATATATATTTATATACAGTGATGTTCGATAAAAGTGACTCACCTGATTTTTTACTAAATGTTCCCTCTCCGATGAAACGAAATTTGAGCTAAATTCAAAGCGATCTAGAATCCGAAGAAGCTTTGAAAGCTCTTTGAATTTAGCAGTAAGTACTGTCATGCATCCGTTCAGTATAATGTTCTGGGGTTGCTTTTCTTTTCATGGAAGTGGTTTCTTAAAACCTATTGAAAAGACCCTCAGGAGCGAGCAGTACAAGAGAATTTTAGAGTCTTGTCTGCTCCCTTCTGCTGAAAGGGTGCAAATCGACCCCACTTTTTATGCAGGATAATACTCCCTGTCACAAATCAAAATTGATGAAGGAATACTTTGATGAGAATCAGGTGAGTGTTATGACATGAGCGCCCCAATCTCCTGACCTCAACCCCATAGAAAACTTATGGAGCATTATAAAGTACAGGCTCTCGAGAAAGCAGTTGAGCAAAATGCTCCATAAGTTTTCTATGAGAGATTATATAAAAATCTTAATCAAAACATCTTGTCTGTCATATTTAATAAAGCTTGTGTATATACACAGAAGGGAGAGTTTCAAATGGGCAGAGAATTTTAAGAGTAGTAATGATATAAACAAGACAATGCATGGTCGCAAGACCAAACGTTTCAAAATGGAATATGTCTCCAGAAAGAAATATTTATGCATGGTCAGTTGTATGTTTCATGCTCAAGAGTTAGAAATCCTAAGAAATTGTTCTTTGCTGTTAAGAAAAAAGATACTTTCTTAAAAAGTATTATTTACCATGAAGTCCTATGAAATTAGATTAAATTAAAGAAATTATTAAACAGTGAAGTAGGGTTTTCCAAACAAATCAGGTTATTCCATTTTCATTGACTGGTTTGCGAAATTGAACGAAGAGTAGAGTTTGTAAACCTTGACAAAAGTGTTAGCGATGATTTATAACAATACTGTGAGGATTTTGAAAAAAATCTTCTAGTGTCGATAAAATTCCGGAATTCTATGTAATAACTTTGAAAAGTCTGAGATAGTTGCAATACGTTCGCAAATCAGTAAAGAACAGCGAAGTTTGGAGAGAACTGACAAGAGTTCTTTACAAAGATGCTGAAGAGGAAAAATCACATTGCTTTGCAGAGTCTTTAGGTCGAAACTGCTCTAATGATGATGATAATGTTGCATCTAATTGACAGACAAGCTAATGACTATTTCGGTTGTCATCAGTTAAAAAATGATAACTTCTTATTTAAAACTTTGTAAATGCCTCTATAGTATTTTTATAGTAACTCATTTGCAATCTATTTCCCTTGTAAGCCATTTACAATGCATTGCTATAGTAAGTCATTTGTGATCAAAACAACAAAGATGAGGATACTAATCTGAATATTTTTTGGAATAATGTAAATCCATATTACTGTTCTTAACTTCACCGAATCTTGACTTAAATAATGACACCAAGTTTGCTGATCAAGCTGATAACGGTGGTCCTTCTGAATTATATACGGCCATAGTCCTTTTGGATCCGTTGTCTTGTTTTATCCTATTTGACCTGCTTTTCCCGTTCTCTCTCCTTTGTTATAGCGTCCCGTCTCCATTCAAGGAAATGTCTCTGTTTTCCTTCTTCCCTTATTAGCTTTGGCTTCTTCTCTGCTCCCGACCTTCGCCATCTTTACATATTACGGAATCCATTTCGTTTTCAAGTTCTTAATTTGAGTACCAATTTCCACATGACGTCCTTTCGCCGGGCAACACCGATGCAAAAACGATTTTCTTTCCCCTCTTTTTACTTCCTCATCTTCCCGCTCATTTGGAAATATCTGAGGAATCCGCCCACACGGGCTGCTGTTTCGAAAAGAGCGACAGGGTTTATGCTACTTAAAGAAAGACAGAAAAAAAGAGACGCAGAGGGAAACAGGGAGGGAGAGAGAACAAAAGAGAGAAAAGGACAGGGTGTGAGAGGGAATGAGTAAGAGAGAGAGAGAGGGGGAGAATTTTTAGTAGAAATAGAGAGGGAAGATTTAAGAAAAAGAAGGAATAGCTTAAGATGAGAGATAGGAGAGAAAAAGAGAGAGAAGTTGTGACAGAGAGTCAAAGAGAAACAGAGTGACAAAGAAAGAGAGTGAGAAGATTTGCGGAAAAGATAGAGAAGCTCTGAGGGAAAGAAAAGAATAGGAGATGCACTGAGAACAAAGGAGAAATTGTGAGAGAGAAAGAGAGGATCAAAGAGAAAGAGAGTGAGAGAGTGACAAAGAGTGAGTGAGAGGGTGAATATCTGAGAAAAAGATAGAGCAGATCTGGGGGAAAGAAAAGAATGGGAGAAGTACTGAGAAAAAGAGAGAGAAGTTGTGAGAGAGAATCAAAGAGAAAGTGAGTGACAAAGAAAGGGAGTGAGAGAGTGAGAAGATCTGAGAAAAAGATAGAGAAGATCTGTAGGGAAGAAAGAATGGGAGATGTACCGAGAAAAAGAGAGAGAAGCTGTGAGATAGAGTCAAAGAGAATGAGAGTGAGAGAGTGACAATGAAAGAGAGTGAGAGAGTGAGAAAATCTGAGAAAAGGAGAATATCTGGGAGAAAGAAAGAATTGGAGTTGTACTGACATGACGGCAGGGAGGGAAAGAAAACAAGAGAGGGTGCGAGAGAGAGAGAGAGAGAGAGAGAGAGAGAGAGTATAATCGAAAAGAGAGTTCTGAGAAAAAGAAAAAATCTGAGAAAAAAAAAATATGGAAGAGTGACAGTAAGAGAGAACAAGAGTGAGTGATGGTGTGAGAGAGAAATTCTGGGAGAGTGTGAAAATGTAAGAAACTCTGAGCAAAAGAGAGAGAGAAAGAGAGAGAGAGAGAGGTCTGAGAAGAAGAAAAAAAGAAATGGCGATGGCCTGAGATGAAGAGAGAGGAAGAAAGAAAAAGAAAGATGGAGAGAAAAAGTGAGTGAAAGATAGAAAAGGTCTAAGGTCAGTTTCTAAGAGAAAGAGAGAGTGGAAGAGAGAGAGAGAGAGAGAGAGAGAGAGAGAGAGAGGAAAGCAATAGATAAGAAAAAAATAGAGAGAAAACTCCAGGAAACAGAGAGAGGGATAGATGGGAAGAGAAAGAGTGAGAAAGAGAGACAGACGAATAAAGAGGGTGAAAGAAGAAAGGATAGCGAAAGAGAGACGGTCTGATAGAAAGGAATCTGAGAGACGTAGACAGGTTCTTAGAGGCTTAACTAATTTGTCCAGAAATACCATAACCTTTCACCTTGTGAAGATGGTCCGTATGCCAAACCCTGTCAACGACCTTTGAGATATGCAAAGCAATAGCCTGAGCTTCACTATTCAGATTTAAAGCATGTAAGATGCTTCTCAGCAATAATTGTTAATACATCAAGAGTTGACATAGTGAAGCAAAAGTCGTATTGCTTATCTGAAAGAAAACCCTGGAAGATGAGGGGCTTATCTAATTCAGTGTTGATCATAGCCTCTAGTACTTTGCCAAAAAGAGGAGGAATGCTGACTGGTCTATAGTTAGAAAGAGCAGACATTTCGCCGGAGCTCTAAAAGACTGAAACTAAAGAGGATTTCCAACACGCAAGAAAGCAAGAAGCAGCAAGGCGTTTGTAGAGTTTAGAGAGAACAGGAGACAGTTCAAAAGCACATTTCATAAGAACTATTACAAGGATACTATTGTCCACACGTTTTGAGGAGATCCAGTTTAGAGATGATAGCAGAAACCATATATTTATATACATATCAGTCAACAGAGACTCGATTTTATGTGGAAAGTCAGATAAAGACACAATTTATAATGATTTCCATTTACAAACCTACAGTATTCAGTCAGTCATGTGCCATGCGTGATGCACACTTAGGCGATCATGTATCTTTCGATACATGACTGACGAGACAGATTTTTTTCCGCAGAACGTTGCCATTTCTTTCTGTGGTAGACCAGTTGCCATCCAAGGATATTTTGTCCTGCTAATAGGATTCATGCCTTTCCCGTAAGTGAATTTAATAGAGTCGACTGGAATTCGAACTCGGCTCTCCGATTCCTCAATCCAAGCCTCTATTCATTACTCCACCAAGCCTCCTCTTCCAAATAAACCAATTGCAGGTAAATTCTCTTCAAATTCTACTTTTGAATTCTCATCTGATCTATCTTTGCCTGAGCTAGACTTACAGTATTAATATACAGTGTAACCCGGATATAAGAGAGTTGTCGGGACCGGAGAAGAAGTCTCTTATATCCGGGTTTCTCTTATATCCGGTTTAGTCTATTTTATATACATTAACACAGGCTCTAATTTGGGAGCAGAGAAAATCTCTATTATATCCGGGTTTCTCTTATATCCGGTTTTGGTCTATTTTATATACATTAACACAGGCTCTAATTTGGGACCAGAGAAAATCTCTCTTATATCCGGGTTTCTCGTATATCCGTGTCTCTTATATCCGGGTTACACTGTATCTATTATCATTATTTATATAAGCATTTATATAAGTATTATTTACCTACAGCATTAGGACATAAAGTAATTAAATATAGAATAGTTTTATGCTTGAAATATTTTTGCCCAACAATGCACATTACTACAACATTAACTTAAAAGTACAAGTCATGTTCTTAAATAGCCTTGACAGATGAAGACTTTCAGCTGGATATCATACAAAGACTTTCAGTTGGCATATTCAGAAATATCTAAACTATCAGCTGTATACAACCATATGCATCTCAGTCAAGAGAGACTCAGATTATTTTGTTTATGGGCTATTTAATGCCAAAATCTAAATATTTTACAATTTTATGGCATCAACTATTTTCAACGGAATTGTATGACATCAACCACAGAAAATATATTGCTGGTCATTTTTTTTTATATAAAAATATATTGTTGGTAATTTTTTATATAAAAATGTATTGCTGGTATTTTTACTATATATATATATATATATATATATATATATATATATATATATATATATATATATATATATACAAGTATAGGAGTAGTGTATACGGAATAAAATCCAATAACCAACAAATAATATTCTTAAAAGAGTGCTCAATACAGAGGAGAGCAAACGTACATTCAACACCATCATTTGGTAAGACATCAGATGTGCTATTTTGTAGTAATTTTATAACATATTTATGTTATAATTTTTCGAATAATATATATATATATATATATATATATATATATATATATATATATATATAATGGACTCTCCCGTCGGTTTCGACGTATGAGGATCTGACAGCTTAATTGATTCAGTTATGAAATTCCGTGAGATAATCTTAAGTGGCATTTAAGAGCCACTGGTGATTTACAAAGAGGCCACATATGGAGCAAGTGTGAGGATTGTGAGATGAGATCACTGTTATATATATATATATATCCTTGTTTGAATCGGCTTCTAATGCTCTGGAGTGAGCGGCTTGGGCATAGTAGTCGTAAATCGTAGAGGGACAGTCCTATGGGTAAAGAGAAACGGAATTTGTGATCAAGCGGCGCTATATCGAGTCTAATTCGTTACCTCTTCGTCACCGAGGACCCTTGGTGCTGTTGGTATGGCGTTTGCTTCCTATTGTAACTGTTTGGGTTTCAATCCTCGTTAGTGGATGCGTACTGCTGATGAAGTCCCAAATATAGAACGAAACGGCCGTCCAGTTCTTTCTGCATTCTGTTGAGGTTTCTCCTAGACTCGTTGAATTACTTAATTTTGATTATTTCAAATCCTTCTATTTATTTCTCTCTCTCTCTCTATATATATATTATCTTATTTGGGCACCTCGACGTGGTGTAATGGTTAGAAAGCTTGTCTCGTTATGACTGAGTAGTGAGTTCGATCCTCACTGGGTGCCCCATACTATCGGCCACATCTGAGCTGGGCTTAGAAATTCACTATATCGGGCACCTCGGCGTGGTGTAATGGTTAGCAAGCTTGTCTCGCTTGAACAATTACGACTGAGTAGTGAGTTCGATCCTCACTGGGTGCTCCATACTTCCGGCCTTGTGCCACATCTAAGCAGTGCTTAGAAAGAAGAGGGCGCCTCAGCGTGGTGTAATGGTTAGCAAGCTGGTCTTGCTAAAACTGTTACAACTGAATAGTGAGTTCGATCCTCACTGGGTGCCCCATACTTTCGGCCATGTGCCACATCTAAGCCTCGCTGCTTAGATAATCAATATATATTATCTTATTACTACAAATGTTATATTCAATGGGTATGTGTTTGAGTCGGTATCATTGACGAATATTCACGAGTAATATACGTGATGTAAATATACATCCTGTATATAAATATATCATATGTAAATCAATGGAGTTGAAACGATAAAAATAGTATTCTAATCCTTTGCATTATAAAAGCAGTCACTATTAAAACAAGTGATTTATTTAATTAGTAATTTTTTTTGATGCGTGTTGAAATTCTCACATTATTTAGTATTGTAGAAGTTATCGCTAAAATTTTTTGTTGAGATTGACAAACTGTACGTTTCGTTCAATTTCGAAAACCAATCGATGAAATTTGAATAACCTGATTAGTTTGGAAAATACTTTGACAAAAATTGGTTTAATAATTTCTTTAATTTTATAGCCCTTCACTGTAAACAATATTTTTTAAGAAATTTCTATTTTTCCTTTTTAACAGCGAAGAAAAAATTCTTAAAATTTCTTACTCTTGAGCATGCAACATACAACTGGCCATGTTTAAATACTTCTTTCTGGAGCCAATTTCCAACTTTTTGAAACGTTTGTGATCATGAATTGTCTCAGTTATATGACTACTACTCTTGAAATCCTCTG